CGAGGCAGGGGGCGCGCCCTAGGGGGGGGCGCCCCCCACCCTCGTGACCACCTCTTTTGTTCCTTGGAGCAGGGTCCAAGTCTTCTGGATCACGTTCGGTGAGAAAATCACGTTCCCGAAGATTTTATTCCGTTTGGACTCCGTTTGATATTCCGTTTATCTAAAACACTAAAATAGGCAAAAAAACAGCAATTCTGGGTTGGGCCTCCAGTTAATAGGTTAGTCCCAAAAATAATATAAAAGTGGAAAATAAAGCCCAATATAGTCCAAAACAGTAGATAATATAGCATGGAGCAATCAAAAATTATAGATACGTTGGAGACGTATCAGTTGGCTGCCTTAGGAAGCCCCCCTTTCCCTTTCTCTCTTCCCTGGAGAAAGGCGGGAGGGGGCCAACCCCTCCCTTTCATTTACAAGGCCTGCGACCAGGTTGGGGGCGCGCCAACCCCTTGTGGGCTGGGGTGCTCCCCTCCCCTTGGCCCGTTAGGCCTAGTAACTCCCCGCGGCCTCCCGGAACCCCTTCCGGTGACCCGATAAATACCCATTGCATTCTAAAACCTTTCCGGAGACCAAATACTTGTTGGAGAACGCATTAATTTCAAAAAAAATCTACGCACACGCAAGATCTATCATGGTGATGCATAACAACGAGAGGGGAAGAGTGTTGTCCACGTACCCTCATAGATCGTAAGCGGAAGCATTATGACAACGTGGTTGATGTACTCATACGTCTTCACGATCCGACCGATCCTAGTACTGAAAGTATGGCACCTCCGCGATCTGCACATGTTCGGCTCGGTGACGTCCCACGAACTCACGATCCAGCAAAGTGTCGGGGGAGAGCTTCGTCAGCACGACGGCATGATGACGGTGATGATGAAGCTACCAGCGCAGGACTTCGCCTAAGCACTACGACGATATGACCGAGGTGGATTATGGTGGAGGGGGCACCGCACACGGCTAAGGGATCAATGATCAACTTGTGTGTCTATGGGGTGCCCCCTGGCCACGTATATAAAGGATGGAGGGAGGAGGAGGCCAGCCCTCATAGGGCGCGCCTAAAGTGTGGAGTCCTACTAGGACTCCCTAGTCCTAGTAGGATTCCACCTCCCACATGGAATAGGAAAAAGGGAAGGGAGAAGGAGAAAGAAGGAAGGGGGCACCCCTTTTCCATAGTCCAATTCGGACCATTTCATGGGGAAGGGGCGCGACCATCCTTGAGGCCTTTCTCTCCTTTCTCGTATGGCCCATTAAGGCCCAATACGAATTCTCGTAACTCTCCGGTACTCCAAAAATACCCGAATCACTCGGAACCTTTCCGATGTCCGAATATAGCCTTCCAATATATTGATCTTTACGTCTCGACCATTTCGAGACTCCTCGTCATGTCCCCGATCTCATCCGGGACTGCAAACAAACTTCGTTCATCAAATCACAGAACTCATAATACAAATCGTCACAGAACGTTAAGCGTGCGGACCCTACGGGTTCGAGAACTATGTAGACATGACGGAGACTCATCTCCAGTCAATAACCAATAGCGGAACCTAGATGCTCATATTGGTTCCTACATATTCTATGAAGATCTTTATCAGTCAAACCGCATAATGATATATGTTGTTCCCTTTGTCATCGACATGTTACTTGCCTGAGATTCGATCGTCGGTATCTCAATACCTAGTTCAATCTCATTACTGGCAAGTCTCTTTACTCGTTCCGTAATGTATCATCCCGTAACTAACTCATTAGTCACATTGCTTGCAAGGCTTATAGTGATGTGCATTACCGAGAGGGCCCAGAGATACTAATCCTAATCTTGATCTATGCCAACTCAACAAACACCATCGGAGACACCTGTAGAGCATCTTTATAATCATCCAGTTACGTTGTGACGTTTGATAGCACACAAGGTGCTCCTCCGGTATTTGGGAGTTGCATAATCTCATAGTCTGAGGAACATGTATAAGTCATGAAGAAAGCAATAGCAATGAAACTGTAACGATCATCGTGCTAAGCTAACAGATGGGTCAAGTCAATCACATCATTCTCTAATGATGTGATCCCGCTTATCAAATGACAACTCTTTGTCCATGGCTAGGAAACTTAACCATCTTTGATTAACAAGCTAGTCAAGTAGAGGCATACTAGTGACATTCTGTTTGTTTATGTATTCACACATGTACTAAGTTTCCGGTTAATACAATTCTAGCATGAATAATAAACATTTATCATGATATAAGGAAATATAAATAACAACTTTATTATTGCCTCTAGGGCATATTTCCTTTAATACTATCATCCTATATATCAGTCTTTACGTCCGGACCATTCCAGAGCTCCTCGTCATGTCCATGATCTCATCCAGGACTCCGAACATCATTCGGTCACCAACTCACATAACTCATATAATACTGTATCATCAACGCACGTTAAGCGTGCGGGCCCTATGGGTTCGAGAATGATGTAGACATGACCGAGACGCTTCTCCGATCAATAACCAATAGCGGGACCTAGATGCCTATATTGGTTCCTACATATTCTATGAAGATCTTTATCGGTCGAGCCTTTATGACAACATACGTAGTTCCCTTTGTCTGTCGATATGTTACTTGCCCGAGATTCGATCGTTGGTATCTCCATACCTAGTTCAATCTCGTTACCAACAAGTCTCTTTACTCGTTCTGTAATACATCATCTCGTAGCTAACTCCTTAGTCACTTTGCTTGCAAGCTTCTTGTGATGATGTATTACCAAGAGGGCCCAGAGATACCTCTCCGATTTATGGAGTGACAAATCCCAATCTCGATCCACGCCAACTCAACAGACACCTTCGGAGATACCTGTAGAGCATCTTTATGATCATCCAGTTACGTTGTGACGTTTGATAGCACACAAGGTATTCCTCCGGTATCCAAGAGCTGCATGATCTCATGGTTGAAGAAATATGTATTTGACATTAAGAAAGTGGTAGCAATAAACTGAACGATCATATGCTAAGCTAACAGATGGGTTTTGTCCATCACATCATTCTCCTAATGATGTGATCTTGTTATCAAATGCCAACTCATGTCTATGGTTAGGAAACCTTAACCATCTTTGATCAACGAGCTAGTCTAGTAGAGGCTCACTAGGGACACAATATTTGTTTATGTATCCACACATGTATTTAAGTTTCCGGTCAACACAATTCTAGCATGAATAATAAACCTTTATCATGATTAAGGAAATATAAATAACCATTTTATTATTGCCTCTAGGGCATATTTCCATCAGGAATCTCGATGGGACCGACTGGAACAACTCGGTCGGACCGATGTGCTAGGACTTAGGGCAAACACCATCTCGGTGGCGCCAATTGCATCAACTCGGTGGGACCGAAGTGAGGCAATAAGCAACAGAGAATCTGTCAAGCCAACTCAATGAGACCGATTGCATAAACTTGGTGGGACCGAAGCGAATGCAATAGATCAAAGAACGCTGGCAAGGCCATCTCGGTGGGACCGAGATCCGTACCAGTGTGACCGAATAGTTAGGGTTTCTGGCAGTGGCTATGTCATATGAACTCGGTGGCTCCGGGTAGAAAGAATCGGTGGGGCCGAGTTTGGAATTTGTCTAATATATTTGGATGGAGAAAGTGGCTAAGGGTTTTCGAGGAATATCACTAAGCACTTGAGCAAGTAGACCATTAAGCAACACATCATCCCCTTTTAATAGTATTGGCTTTCCTATGGAATCAATGTGATCTTGGATCACTAAAATAAAGATGAAGAGTCTTGAGCTTTTGCCAATCTTTGTCCTTAGCATTTTGAGGGGTCCACATCTCTAGTCCATTCCATGCCAATCATTGAACATCCTGAAATATTTATCTTAAATGGATATTAGTTCAATGAGATATATGTTGTTATGAATCATCAAAACCACCCGGGGATTAGTTGCACTTTCAGCGGCAAAATCGCCGCATCAAAGCGAAGGCCGCAAAGGAGAAGCTGAAGAGCGTCTGGCCGCCGGTGGGCTTGGTGGTGGCGATGGGCGTGGTGAGCGTGGCGGACGAGGCGGTTGGCGACGAAGAAGAAGATCAAGCTCAAGGAGAGGAGGACCATGATCCAAGAGAGGAAGGCCGCACTCGAGGAGAAGAGGGTGAAGATTGCCGCTAATGCGGAGGACACAAAGATGTTGACATGGAATATCGACTCTTTGGATGCCAATGCTAGAATTATCGTGCAATCCGTCCACTATGAAATGTTGGAGCGGCAGAAAAATGAGTTGGTGGCGGACGCGGAGGCTGCCTATGCGGCGGCGGCACCTCCTTGATCGGGGAGCAAATTGTTGTGATGGCCGATCCGGCAGGGCAGAAATGCACGGACTGCCGGACTGATGTTCTTTGGATTCGGGCATGTAAAAACTAAACATATTTGCCTCCTTTTGGTTTTGATCTGGGATGCGATCCAACGCGGGTGTGATCCGGCGCATTGTGTGGATCAATGTAGATTTGAACTTGAATTTGCTGGCGGACATATACATACTACGGTTGGATGGCAGTCTCCCGCATCAGTGTCCGCAGAAGGATGCGAGAGGAAAATTGCGGGTTGCCGTTGAAGATGCGCGGACCATCCAACCACAAATTTTCGTTGTACTAGTAAGAGCATCTACAACCGGACCCCTCAAACCCGTCTCAAACGCCCGGCCAGGCCGCCCGGTCACGATTTTTTGACCCGGACGGGCCTTTCAAGCGGCCCTCAAACGCCCGGGCTGACCGGCACCTCCATATCCAGCCAAATAAGGGGTGGATATGGGGGCGCCCGGGCACGCCCGCCATGTCGGACCCGACAGCCCGACCCCCACTCTAAATTGCACCAAATCCACCAAACCCTTCCTCCTCCTCCCGCCGCCCTCCAACCATTTTCGTGCCCGGACCCTCGCCGGTCAACATGGACGGGCATTTTTCGGTGAGGGAGAGCAAGGAGGAGTGGTACAAGCTCATGTAGGATGCGCAAAAGGAAATGATGGAGTGGGACCGGAAGAGGACGAAGAAGATGCTCGAAATTGAGAGCGAGAAGATCGAGTTGGAGAAGCAACAAGCGGAGATCAAATGGTAGCTTGAGAAGGCCAAGACATTTGGCGGCATAGAGCTTGAGGAGGAGAGGTTGCAACTCGCATGGGACGTGGAAGATGCGTGGATCATGTTGGCGGACGAGACCCTCTATGATAAGCATTCGAAGAAGTGGCTTGCGGACAAGAAGATGGAGATCAACGATCGTAGGAAGTGCGAGGCGGCGAGGGCAGCTGTGGCTCGGATGCAGTTGGAGGAGGCGGCCTGGATGCAGGCGGAGCAGGACGCATTCCGCCTGGAGCAGGACGCATTCCGCTCGAAGCAGGCGCCGAGCCAGTGATCCGAGGCCATCCGTCACGCTCGGACATTGATTTCATTTTGCCATGTCCGGTTTGCTGAACTATTATGATTTGCTTTGCTTTGCTTTGTTTCGAATTTTGACCTTCGGACAGTTTGTATCGTATGATCGATGTGCATGGATTGTATGAATTTAAGGGTCAGAATTTGCGGTATGTGGATGTGCAACGCAATATTTGAGACGTGATCGGACGCGTTCATGGGCATTTGAGGGGTCGGATTCGGCAGCTGTAGGTGCTCTAATTTGGTCTCTACGGTGTCAGATATTCTCTTGCTAAAAAACCCCGGACGTTAATCGCAGCTGAAGCGAGTACCGACACTGTTGAACCCGTGGCGCTCACCAAGCACCAACGCACCGGGAACGAACCGTCCCGTCGCGTCGCGTAGCGTTCCCGTCGCATCCACCCGGCGGAAAACGACAGATCGCGATGGAATCCTCCCCGTCCCACGTCCTCTGCCCGTTGTCTGATTGGCCCCCCACCGCACCAGCGAGCCGCACGAACCCGCGCGCGCCACGGGCGCGCGCGGTCCCACCCGCAGTCGCCGTCGCCGTGGGGCCCTCGGTGTTGCGGGAATCGAATCTCTCCTCCCCCTCCCCCCTCCCTTTCCCCCGGTCCCGTGAGCGACGCATCGCTCTCCAGTCTCTCCACCCCCCTCCTCTCTCTCTCCGTCCGCCCTCCGCATCTCCGCGCCGCCGCTGCCGCTACGCCTCTCCCCGGGAAGCCTCGCCGGCGGCCAGGTAGGGGATCCCGCCTCGCCGCCTCCCCCTCTCTCCCCCTCGCGCGCCCCTTCCCGCCCGAGAATTCCGCGAGGCGCTTGGGTTTTTGGGCGGACCGTGAGTTTTCGTTTCATCGCTCCAGGAGTGAGCGGGATTCGCTCGCCACCTAGCCTGCAGATCCGTGAGCTCCCGAGCTTAGCATGGCTTGCTGGTTTTCCGGCGATGCTGTGGGTCTCAGGTTGAATTGGGCAGGAAGAGCTGGAGCTCTGCTCTGGGGGCAAATGGTCCTTCTTCTTTCAGAATTAAGCATTTCTGCCTGCCTTTTATCCCCGGCCGTCGTAGGCTTGGAGTTGCAATTCAGCACACGGACCAGCTGGATCTGTCCTGCTTAATTGGAACAGCCAGCGCGCTTTATTCATGCCCGCCCGTCGTTTCCATGTGAAATTTCGTACTAGTAGTGATTTCCCGGTCTTCGTTTCCTGAAGTGTACTTTGGTGTGATTACGATTAAGGTGGAAGATGGAGACAGGCGGCAAAGATGGCAACCCTTTGAAGAATTACCGTATTGGGAAGACCCTGGGGATTGGTTCGTTCGGGAAGGTCAAGATTGCCGAGCATATAAAAACTGGTCACAAGGTGGCCGTCAAGATCCTTAACCGCCGGAAAATCAAAAACATGGAGATGGAAGAGAAAGGTTGGTAATTTTTCTTGCTCTATCTATTGAGCTCTTTCAGTGAGTATAGAGTTTCCTATTCTGTACATATTGGGTATATAGTAGTATGCTGCTGTTGTAGTAATTGTCGCTCATAAATGGAAAGTTGGCATGCTACTATTCTTCTATTAATAACATATACTCCCTGTGATTCAGCCGTTGTAGTAATTACCATTCTCATAAATGGAGTGCTCCTGTTTTTCTATCTTTGCATGATGTAGAAAATTGTGATTGACATGAGCAAGCACATCAGCGATGTGAATGCAGCACCGCTCTTGATTATAAATGTTGTATAGGAACTGTTTAAGAAAATATTCACTGCTCAAGTGCCAAGCACAACAAATGCTCTCGTCTTACATTTTGAGACAGAGGGAGTATCTTATATAGTTGTTTGGTCTAAAATGAAGCACTCAATTTTTTTTTTTTGCATTGTTCTCTTGCAGTGAAAAGAGAGATCAAGATATTAAGATTATTCATGCACCCACATATCATCCGCCTTTATGAAGTGATAGAGGCACCAGCTGATATTTATGTGGTTATGGAGTATGTTAAGTCTGGTGAATTGTTTGATTACATTGTTGAGAAAGGTAGGCTACAGGAGGAAGAGGCCCGCCGTTTCTTTCAACAGGTAATCTCTCCTTTATTGTCTTGAACCCTTTATTCTGAAGATTCTACTCAGCGTCCTAGTTTCTAAACTCTAAAGTTTGGATTAAGCTTTTTTTTTTTTGTTCTTGTTTGCCACTTATTTTGATGATGTATCAGCAATGGCATGTGAAAATATAGTTTGCTCGGAAATTGCAGAGTGCAGACACAGTAATGATGTTTATCATTCCACTTAGACCCTTAACGTGACGGGTTACTTTGTTTTCTGTCTTTGTACAGATCATATCTGGTGTTCAATATTGCCACAGGAACATGGTGGTGCACCGCGATCTAAAGCCGGAGAACCTTCTTTTGGACAATAATTGTGATGTTAAGATTGCGGATTTTGGCTTAAGTAATGTTATGCGTGACGGCCACTTTCTTAAGACAAGTTGTGGTAGCCCAAATTATGCAGCTCCGGAGGTAATTATCCTTGAACTATTTTCAGACAGAAAGGACATGACATCATTGTACTCCTAGCTTTGTTCCCAGACTCTTTGGTTTCACTGTATAATATACTTTCTGTTATCTAGGTTATATCTGGAAAACTGTACGCTGGGCCTGAAGTTGATGTATGGAGCTGCGGTGTTATTCTTTATGCTCTTCTATGTGGTACTCTTCCATTTGATGATGAGAACATACCCAACCTTTTTAAGAAAATAAAGGTTAGCAAATATATGTGTAGTCTGCATTTGAATGGTGCATCTGTACCTGCTTCTAGTGATATAAATAATATATTCCATTTTTCATTTCAGGGTGGAATATATACCCTTCCAAGCCATTTATCAGGCCCAGCAAGGGATTTGATTCCAAGGATGCTAGTTGTTGATCCTATGAAGAGGATAACCATTCGTGAAATACGCGAGCATCCATGGTTTGAAGCTCAACTCCCACGATATTTAGCCGTGCCTCCACCAGATACTGCACAACAAGTTAAAAAGGTATAATTAGCCCTCTGCACCGCTTCCTTTATGAAAATCAGTTGAACTATGATATAATGGTGTTTCTCTGTGTGTTAGTTATGCCAAATATTCCGCCCATAAAAATATTTTATATTGTTGATATCTCCTATTAAGGCATATAAACTTGGTGGTTAAGTTTATATGTGGTTAAAAATGTGCCCATCATTTCTCTTCATGATTTATAATGATATATTTTAAAGTTTTTTTCTGGGGTCTGTACATTACCCTTCTGCCTTGTGCCATTTAGTGAGGCTATGCATGGGAGTGCTCACTGGTTTCTTAAAATTTTATGTGTATTGGAGTCAATCTTGCAGTTTTCTGTGTGACTGTCCAGATGGGAGCTGACAGGATTTTTTAGTCATGTATTTCTTCATTTAAGTCCTCAAATAAGGTGTTGGTTTCTCTCATGATTTTGTAGATTGATGAAGAATCTCTTGTTAAAGTTATCAGTCTGGGATTTGACAAAAACCTGCTGGTTGAATCAATTCATAATAGATTGCAAAATGAGGTAACTTTTTTTTACATTCTGTTGTCTGCATATGCCTGTTATGTGCAAATTAACGACCATGACTAATTCATCTGCGCACTGCAGGCAACAGTTGCATATTATTTATTTTTGGATAATAAGAGTCGCACAACAACTGGCTATCTTGGAGCTGGGTATCAAGAAGCTATGGTGAGTTACTGTGTTCACTTGTTTGCCTCCCCCGATTCTGTTTTAATCTTCTGACTGATGCATGTGCTGTTAGATTATTGATTTCTAATAACTTTGGCATCAAGGAATCGTCTTTCTCACCCATTACTCCAAGTGAAACACAAAGTCCAGCTCATGGAAATCGGCAACAACCATATATGGAATCTCCAGTTGGCTTGAGACCACATTTTCCAGCTGATAGGAAATGGGCTCTTGGGCTTCAGGTAATCTATGTTTAGCTTTGTTCTGGTGCTTTTCTTAAGCTCTTTCTTATATATTTCAATTAACATCTTTGGATTCATTTTGACAGTCTCGAGCACATCCAAGAGAAGTTATGACTGAAGTGCTGAAGGCTCTGCAAGAACTGAATGTATACTGGAAAAAAATTGGACACTATAACATGAAATGTAGATGGAGTCCTCCTGGCTTTCCCGGTCAGGAGAATATGAATCATACCAATTATAACTTCAGTGCAGAGCCTATTGAAACCGACGACCTGGGTGACAAGTTAAATTTAATTAAGTTCGAACTTCAGGTAAATTGCAAATCCATCTGTATGCATCCAATGAGAAGTCCTGATGCAAATACAGCAGTGTGATGCATGAGTACTTATGCGTGTCTTTCTCCTGATGGTTAAACAGTGTAGCAGACCTTGACCTTTTAGTCACTATAAGTATGGCACTCCAAATTGTTCACTAGCAGTCCCTTGCATTTCCATGCACGCTCGTCTATACATGATATTTTTACTAGGAAGTTATATACACAAGATAACTCTTCACATATCCCTGCATCTCTTTTACTTTGAAATCGGCGCAATAGGTTCAGGAACCTCATAAAATTGGAATCTTATTTCCATTGTATACACACACCCCTGTTGCCATACACCTACTGCTTGCATGCCTCCACTTGATGTCTATTGCAGTCACTATCATGCGAAAACTGAAATTCAACTCCCATTATTCGCGTCACCTTTTACTTCAGTTGTGCACTTGATGGTGATCCCGATGTGCCTCCACTCGGCAACAACTTTACATAATTCATAAACCTATACGATTTGAATAATATTTTCTCCTCCTTATTTCGCTTACGCACTTAAAACCATATGTTCTCATTATCCGTGTTGCATTCTTCTTAGCTGTCTCTGTATTTCTGATATTGCAGCTTTACAAAACAAGAGATGAGAAATACCTTCTGGATTTGCAAAGGGCGAGCGGGCCGCATCTCCTCTTTCTTGATCTATGTGCCGCCTTTCTAGCTCAGCTGAGAGTCCTTTGATACCAGATGTGCCCGAGGAATGTATGTTGTATCACTCTAAAGAGATGTAAATAGCAAGCTTTCTCCAGCGGATCAAAGTCGTGGAGTATGTAGACATGCGGAGCTGTTGTGTGCTTATTTCGGCGCCTATATGCTGAATTTAGACCTGGCAGGGGCGGGCAAGTGAAGCAAGCAAGGAACTATTGCCATCAGGTTATTTCCAGCTGCCGCCAAAGGCACTAGGATATAGAAGTATTATTGATTAATCCTATATTGGCCCCTTGGGACATACTCCTACTCTACTGCTGTTTACTTGCATGTAATTTTTACTGTCTGGGTCTCCAGACCAGACCACGTACACGAATAATTTCTTCAAATTGCAATGGTTAATGAAAGCTGAGCTGCTGACGGGCCACAGACAATCGTATACAGTTTTGTTCTTCATATACTAATTCGAGGTGTCTAATCTCTTCTGCGTCCATTGATTGCGAAGCACGTCCGTTGAGAATCTTCCATAATAATCGTTCGGTTTAGCGTGGTCAATCAGTACAGCTGTGCCATTGGCTGAGAACAATGCGGCAACCATCATGGAAGGAGAGGCATGGACTGTCGCCTAGTAAGCTGCCTTCCAGCAATTTAAATACGTTCAATTTGTTACTGCGAATGCAAGCATGCTCAGCTTTGGACACCACCACGATGGGAGGGCACTTCCTGTACGCGACCGCGACGGGCGCTATGTTGGTAGTAGGAGAAAACGCCCCATGCAAATCCTCTCCATTCGCCTGTTCTTGCTTCGAGTCCACGCACCGGTCATCGTCAAGCAAGCTATTAAAGGCTTGTTAATTTGAACGGTGTCCATTTGTTTTCTTTCTTTCATGGGAAGAAAGAGGGCCCATTGGCTAGGGTTTCTCGTGCCTCTCGCCGGTGCTGTCGCCGGTCTACCTCGTCTCATGTGGTATTAGGGATATGGAGGCGTGGTGGATGGGCCAGAGGGCTTAGTTTTTCATGTTCTTTTGAGTTCTTTTATGGTTTGTGTCTAGCTCAGACAGGCGAGGCGGTGGTGGTTCTCTGAAGATAAGGTTCTTCCCGCCTTGCATCCGTTCCGGTGGTGTTTCTAGCATCGTCGAAGGGGGTGTGGAGGTTTGTCTCCAGCGGATCTCGCGGGATTCGGTCGGCGTTTGTCTTCGGTGGATCCAGGTGGATCTTGTAGTCGTCCGTTTGTGTTCATGTGTCTACAAGTTAGATTTTTTCGATCTACGCTTCTTTTCATTGGCGACGACTGTTGTTCTCGTGTGCTGGTCTTATGTGGCCTTGTACGACGACTTTCCGACTGTCTACTACAATAAGGTTTGCTCGGCTCCGATGAGGAGGGACGAAGACGACGGCGCGCCTTCGGCTCGCTTCAGTGCTATTAGTCGTCGGTAGGTGGTCTATAGACCTCGATGTATTTTTTATTTCTGGTGTTCTTTGTACTACCTTGACAGTTGATGAATAAATCGAAAGTTATTTAAAAAAATTGAACTGTCTTTTTCTTTTTAAATGGACTGTGATATTTGGTACACGTGTGTCATATAAGCAAAACTGCCACACCTCTACTTCTTTCATTTAAAAGTACCCCACGATCCCCCGTCCTTTGACCTCGCCTCCTCCCAAACGACCCCGGAGGCTCGTCTGAGAAATCTGCTTCTCCCGCACATCTCGCGCGTCCATCCTCGAGAAAACTGCCACTTCTTCACGTCTACCACATGATTTCTCCCCAGGACAAAGTTACCATGATATTCGTATGCAAATTATCAGGCCTGTGTTGCATAACTTACCATACTATTTACATAGAACGTACCAGGTACTATGCTTCAACAACTACACCCCTTCAAAGTCATCATTGTATTTTATACACAAGTTAGAAGGTCTTCGATGTGTAAAATACCGTGGTACTTACATATAAGTTATCAGAGTATATGTACATCAACCCCATCCTGGTCAAAATTATCATGTGTGGATTATACATGAGTTACCGGGTCTACAGTACGTATATTATCATGTTACTTGCACCTAAAAATCTGGGTGTGTTTCAGTAGCTTTTTCCTTAGGTCAAAAAATACCACGATGTTTTTGTGTAACTTATCACGCTTATAGCACGTGTGCCCCTCATGACACTAAACATTATGTCACTTTCCCGTGGCACGCCATGTGTTGTGTTCATTCAAGAGGCCCACGCGCGAGGCGAGTGTATGTTTTTAGCAACTTGTTTCCCTTTGGTAAAAAAAGTTACCATCATGTTTATATTGCAAGTTATTGGTTATGCGGTGCTTATATTATCATGTTATTTATACGGAAATTATTGGGGATGTTTTGAACAACTTTTTCCTGGGAGAAAAAGTTATCATGGTGATTCCAGGTAAGCTATCAAGCCCGTAGTGCTTAAAATATCATGCTATTTACACAAAATTTATCAGGGGTATGTTTCAGCAAATTCTCCCCCACGGGTCAGAAACTTATCATGGTGTTTAGTTATCGCGGTGCATATATTTTCATACTATTTACACATAAAAATGTCAGGGAAGGGAGGTATACTATCGTGTTATTTACACAGAAGATATCGGAGTATCTTTTCAAAAAAAATCCCTACGGTCAAAGTTACCATGATGTTTCTACCTCAATTATCAGATGTGCGCTGCATATATTACCATCTATTAAAGGCAAAAACATGTCAAAACAGTATTTCCCTTAGCTTGTTCAATAATCAGTGTCATAGGTGAGGTTGTTAGTTCCCTTTGTTGATTACTTGCAGACCAGAGATCAAATTCTAGTTCAAGCATTATTTTTGCCCGAAAATTGGAGGATGTGCGGGAAATGAAGAAGATCGGGAGGCGTGTGGCAGTTTCGCAATCTGTCACACGGTTGCCATATACATATTTCGTTTTTAAATATCCCCCACATTGCGTTGCGCCCTTACTGTTGTTTTCAGGAAATGTTCCAAATCCGCCCCTAAATTTTGAACACTAAAAATCAAGTGACCAGACTTGTCATGTGTATGTTTTAAAGTAAAAAATTGCCATGTAGTAAAAAAAATACCAGAGAAATTGCCATGCGGGTGACGTAAGATTTATATCTGGGTCCTTTGCATTGGCCGAGAATGTCAATTTGCGAAGGTGCTGTGCTGATTCGGAAAAGAAACCTCAACGCAAGAAAATGGATGATCTCAAAAACATTCGATCGAAACGAGTGAAGATCGAAGGCAAGTGATCCCGAGAACAAATGTAAGCTAATAAATTCGGCCGCGATCAGCCTCGTTTCGATAAAACCAATTACGTATACATGAGTTGATGAGTAACACGACAGTACAATGCGCGAACACTCGGTAAATCTCACAACCAGCGAGTAGAATAGTACAACGATCCCTCCCATCCCGGGGAAGGCATCGGCGTCGACGCTATCTCCTGGCGTGCGCGGCGCCGGCGGGCTGGTCGCAGGAGAAGACCTGCTTCGGGAGCCGCCACGCCTCCGCTGCGCCGAAGCACATGTCGTCGAGCGCCTCGCTGCGGCACCACCGGCACCTGCCCCCGCCGCCGCTCGCCACGCACTTGCCGCGCGTCGCCAGATCCCGGCACCCCGCCTCCGCCTCCGCCCTCGCTGACCGAGCAGCAGCCTTGCTCTTGATTCTGCCCGCCGCGGCGGCTGCCGACGCGGCCCCCGAGCAGACCAGGAGAAGAGCGAGCAGCAGCAGCAGCAGCGCCGCAGATCTGGCCATGAGGTGAGAAACAGAGACGGTCTGGGACGATTGGATTGGGTATCAGTCAGAGGGGAGTCTGAATATTTGGACTCTGGATCGCGATACGGACGGTGGGCCTCTCCTTTCTCTTTGACGGGAAAATGAGGTTGGCGCCTTTTCTCTTCCAGCCTTCAGACGTTGGGCCGGCATACCAACGATTGGCTGGCTACAACTTTTTTTTTTGACATCTTGGCTGGCTACAACTTGATTTAGCTGTGAATTCCCCTTTCAAGGAAAGAAAAATAAAACTGTGAATTCTCAAAAATAAATAAATGCAAGTTATCTTTTTGTCCCTCGTGACTTAGATCCATCGAACAAATCATCAGCACAAGCATTTGTTCAAAATAAGGAAAATACATAGAGGTCCAACTCAAAAAAATAAATACATTGTGGTCCTTGAGGGTGATTGTCTTCCTCATCTCGAACGGACCGACGACATGTTATTGTTCCTTCTTCTCCATTGTCCGATTAGCCAGTTGTTGATCACTGATGGAAGTCACCGAGGCCACTAACGAACCATCGTCTAGAGAAGAAACCGTCTAAGCTATCGTCAGAAGACCAACAAATTCACTATCCCAACCTCTAAAAAGCTCATAGGCATCATTTTGACATTGGAGGCTGCACCAAATTGACAGAGATGAGGCAACCATAGATGGAAGTCGTTGCTGCATCCGATGAACCCTAACATCACTGGCCAGAAATATCGGTGGTAATCTACGTCAACGAGCCACCGAAGTCACCCCAGCCCACATCGTCGATATGAGAGGCTCGAGGAAACTTTATTCACCAGATTGGGGTCAACACGTAGGCCTACTAAAAGCTTCAAAGAAGGGAATAATTAGTTTGATGCCAACATTTGGCATTGCCAATACTTGGCAAGCTAACAATTGACAATATTAAAAGTTGCCAAAATTGACAATTTTTTGTGAGGTTGCCAAGTAAACATGGTAACCAACCAAGCACTAGACAATTTTTGGCATGTCCATTTTCGGCATCAAACGAATCATGCTCAGAACTCCATCTAATAGATGGGAGCCTCTTGCCCTCCTACGCGTGCAAAGATAGTGGAGGAGGAGGCTGATGACCTACTAGGAGAGGAGTGGCTGCACGGTGAGCCTAGAAAAATCTCCTCTCTGTGGTTTGGGAAGGAGGAAAGTTCTCATAATCGCCAAAGAAGAGAGACATCCACAAAGCTGCACCAATCAGTCCGGTGTCTACTCTCTTTACCTGCTGGTCACCTCAGGCATACGCCACTCCACCTCTGAAGGCCATGAAGGCGTCGTTGGATGCTCCCTGTGTCCTCTAAGTTCACCTACCAACTCTTCATGAGACTATGCCCCTGCTGGGAGGCTTCTTTTGTAATAGTGCTACTTTTCCGAGAAATACACTTCGGTTCCTGGTTGTATAAACACCCTATATGGAGAATTTTTTAATAGTTAAACAGAAAGTCAAATAGTTTAGAATTTTTTTTAGAATAAACTTGACTTACTTCTGCACTAGTATGTAAGTTTCCAAAAAATAAAAATCAACGTTGACTTCATAGCCAAAAAGACAAAATTTATTTGCTAGTATAGGTCACTATTCACACTATTTTGATCAAAAATTTGTCTTTTTTGAAAAGAAGTCAAAGGGGGATTTTCTTTTTGTGAAATTTTTCTCACAAGTACAATGTAAGGTCAAGTTTATTCCAAAAAAAAATTCAGAATTTTTTGACTTTTTGTTGAATTATTAAATTATTTTTCCATATAGAGTGTATATGTCCTCATAGATCAAGAGTTCCCCTCCTACTTTCCCTAGCTAGCTTGTTGCTGTTTTACTGTTTTTTAGACTGCTCTTTTAAGAGCTGTTGTATCAGACTTGGTGTGGTTTTGGTTTCATTCTGAGTAATGGAACCGGGGAGGTGCTCCCTGTTCTTCTAAAAGAAAGTTCTCATAACAAGTCTTGTGTTTCTGGATACAGTTATCTTCATTCTAAATTTCTAATATAAAAAAAACTTTCTGTTATATATGGAAAATTACCATTTTGCTCTAAAAGGAGGTCAAAAAGGTTCGTCATCATTCTTGTTCCTCAAGTACGTTCTCTCACACCGTTGTATGTACTCCCTCCGTTCGGAATTACTTGTCGCAGAAATGGATGTATCTAGACGTATTTTAGTTCTAGATACATCCGTTTTCGAAACAAGTAATTTTGAACGGAGGGAGTATATGACACGACTCTTGCCAAATATACATTCTGTGTCTGCATCTTCTTTTATACAGACAAAAGGACCCAAGGGTCGAACTCTGCAGCGACTCAAGTCACGTCATATAGTAAACCAACTGCGGGTCAATGGCCTTGGGAATGCCCCTAGCCGGAGCGTCATCCAGGCCAGTGTTGAGCAGGGACTCGGCCAGCTTCCGTGCAAACGCCATGTAGCTCTGGTAATCGTGCTCTGCTTTGACTTCTCCGGTATGCGACTCAGGAGCAGCAGCACAAGTTATGGTAGTATCGGCGACCGGCCCGTTGTCTGGCCGGACGCGGCCGCAGCTGCGGTCGTACAGCCAGTCCCCGGATTTCCAGTCGAAGGTGTAGAGCGGCAGAAACCGGTGGCCGAAACTGGCGACGAAGTCTATGGCCTCCAGCACGAACTCCGCCTCGCGCGCCGACGTGTAGTACGCCAGGCTGACACGCGTCCACCCTGGCCGCACTCCGTGATAGCCCTGCATGGATTGATCGGTCAGAATCCATCATCAACAAATAGTGAGTGCAGAGGATGATGAAGTTGGAAACTGTTTAGTTTCGGTTACCATCTCGACGGCGGATTTGATGGCCTTGGCTCGCGCCGGAGTGATGCCGAGCAACCGGTGGCCGTAAGGCCCTGCGCAGGCGCAGCCCCCGCGAGCCTGCACGCCGAACAGGTCGTTCAGTAGCTTCGTCACCAACCGGCAGTGCAACTGCGGCCTCGCCGCCCCCACCTCCTTGTTCTCGTCGACGACCGGAGGGTACACCACGAAAGAGAGCACCGGGAGCCGGCCTGCGGTGCTGCCGGGGTCGCCGCCGAGCAGCAGGCGCAGGTTGGGGTTGGCAGCCGTCCGGATCCGGCGGAGGGCGAGGGCGAGCATGCGCTGCTCGCCCTCCTCGACGCACTCCGCCCCGACCCACTCCTTCACCTTGAACGCCAGCGCCGCTCGGACCTTCTGTATGATGGCCGGCGTCCCCGCGTCCTCGCGCTCCTCCGTGTCCTCGCAGTACACTGTGTCTCCGTGGTCGAAGCCGCTGACGTAGAGCACGGTGCCCCCGCCGCTGGTGGACGGCGCGGTGCGGCGGAGGCGGTAGAGCCGCGACGCCATCGCGAGGATGCCCGGGCTGCCGGGCCCGCCGAGGAACTTGTGCGCGCTCAGGAAGACGGCGTCGTAGCCGTCCGGCTCCCCGGACCTCATGTCGATGTCGACGTAGGGCGCGCTGCATGCGAAGTCGAAGCAGGCGAAGGCGCCGTGCCGGTGCAGCAGGCGCGCCACGGCCCGCGTGTCGGTGCGCAGCCCGGTGACGTTGCTGCACGCCGAGAAAGAGCCCAGCATGGGCCGCCCCGCGCGCCCGGGCGCCGCCAGCGCCGCCTCCAGGGCCGCCATGTCGACGAGGCCGTCGTCCTGCCGCAGCCTGATCTCCACCACCTCCGCGAGGCTCTCCCGCCACGAGAGCAGGTTGGAGTGGTGCTCGTGCGGCCCGACGAATACCACCCACCGGTCGGACGGCGGCAGGGCCTCCAGCACCCTGGCGCGCAGCGTGGGAGGGACGGCCATGCCGGTCACCTCCTGGAGGCGCTTGATGGCGGCGGTGCAGCCCGTGCCGCAGAAGAGCAGCACGTCCTGTGGGCCGCCTCCCAGGCTGCGCTTCACGTACCGCGCCGCCTCCCCGGCCAGCCTGCTCGTGTGCATGCCCACGTAGCTGTCCACCGTGTGCGTGTTGCCTACACCATCATGGACACAGACTTACACATCACTGACAATTCCAAATTTTTCATTAGTTCGGGTGAGCGTAACTTGTACTCCTACTAGTACTAGAATCAGTTAAAAAAAATTACTCCCTCAGTTCATTTTTATAAGTCGTTTCAGACAACTGAAAATGAGCTACTTTGCACCTTGTCTAAAACGTCTTCAAGGTCTTATAATAGTGAATAGAGGGAGTATAAAAAAAGAGCTAGCGGAAAGGCTGTTAATGGCGCGCACCGTAATACGGGAGAACGTTCCGCTGCACGAACTCCTCGACGAAGAGCAGGCAGCGGCCGGACGCCGTGTGGTCGGCGTACGTGATGCGGCGAGTCCCGAACGGCGACGAGAACTCTGCTTCGGCGCCGATGATCTGTGACCTGAGCCACTCCAACTTCACCGCGGGGTCGTCGTCCGTCTCATTCTTGCTTCCATCGCCGTCACCGAGCACAAGATCATCGAACAGGAGGCCATCAGCATTTGCTGAAGGAGATGCGGCACCGGTACTAGAAAGAGCGCCCGTGCTAGCACTAACAGAGATGGGCACGGGCAGAGCCACAAGAAGAGGCATGATAGATGATGTCGAACAAAATGAAGATCGAAGATGATCTGTGAGTGGGCTCTTGAACATACAGCTACGCTGTATATATAGAGAGGCTGGTTTAATTTGACCTTAACATGTAGTAGTAGTATGAAGTGTTCTACAGGAGATGATCCGTGTACGCTGTCCACAGGAATTGATCTGTGTGCCCCTTCCTGTAGAATTGTTAGTGGACATTCGCTGTGTTGGACTCGACTCGGGCATCTGTAAGCAAGGTGCTCAGCCGTGCTAGATGGGAACATGAAGCATGGGTTGAGTGCCCTCCGATCACAAGAAATCAAATCCCAGGGCAGGCAGCGACGGTGTTTGTCGCGGCTGCGAAGCGAAACACTGATGAAGGTAATGCCCAGTCCGTGGGCTGGATCGCCTCTGATTCTCATTTCGGCTCAGTGGGAGGCGTCGGCCGGACGCCG